CGGACCGGGAGCCCCCGGGCGTGGGGGCCCGGGCTCGGGGCGGCTTCGTGCGGGCCGCCGGGCGGGGTCAGTCGAGCTCGATGGGGCTGCTGTCGTCCTGACTGTCCTCGCCCTCCTGCTCCGAGGCGCCCATGAGGCTGCTCAGAAGGTTCCCTGGAAGCAAACGCAGGCGCCGTGAGGCACAGCGGCCCCGCGTTGCCGGCACCCCTGCCCGGGGAACCCCACCTTCCGCGGCACCGCGTCCCGGGGCCCGGACGGGAGGCGCGGGGGCCCCACCACGCGTCCCTGGGAACGCGGATGCCTGTGCACGGAGCCCTCGGAGTGGTCGGTAACCCGCGGTCACAGGGACGTCACCATCCACCGACACGAGGCCGTAAATTACACACGTGCTGACTTAAAGGTATCCAGAAATGGGTCAGGACGCGTCAGAGACCCCAGGGCCACACGCGGAGACGTTAATGGCTGTCGCCCACTGGCGCAGTCACCACGGACACTTTGCCTCACTCTGATCTCACCCACGGAACCACTACTGTGTCACCACAGGGTCAGCAGTTTACAAAGCCCTTGAAGCCAAGCCGCCGAGAAAGTAAGAACACACGCACACGGGAACGACGTTCTCGGGACAGACTGCCACGAAGGTGCAGAATCGTCCCCGATCTGCCGCTAACCCGGGTCCAGTGAACACACCAGCAGCACTCTGGGCGCCGGAAGGGCCGACTCTGAAGTTCTGGTGAGAAACGAGCGAGCACGAGGTATGAGGATGCGCGTGGCGAGGAGGGAGGCTGCACGTCAGGCCCGACAGATGCAAACACGCAGTCCCCAGGCCCGGGTGAAACCACAGAGCACCTACACGCAGCTGGCACAGGAAGGAAGGTGGGTCTCCACCCCCCGCCTTCCCCGGCACAAATCCGGACGCCAGACACACAGTTTACAACTAGAAAGTCAAACCGTGTTCCCCAGGAGACGCCTTTCCACACAGTCTCAGGAAGACTTTTCCACGGTTTGGCCCACGTGCATCAAAATGGCAAACGTCCACCCAGCCCAAGCCCGAGGGGCCGACGAGGCAGGGTGCCACGTGGATTCGGACAGCAGGACGGGGGCAGGGTCACGGAGCTTTGCGGGACGAGCCCGCGGCTGAGCCTGGCACCTGGGGCAGCTTCAGCTCCATCAAGAACCAGGCGCAGTGTGGAGGATACGTCGCAAGGGCACACAACAGCCATCTGTGTGTTTTTGCAGTTACTTCTAGAAGGAAGCTGAGGAAGGGAGGAAGTCTGAACGGCAAGGCGGATTTCGGTGCGTGCTGGCGAATACGAACTCCACGAGGTAACACCTACCCGCTCAAAAGTAGTAGCACGTCGAGGCTCGTAAAAGCCACTCTCAGATGAAGGGCTACAAAGGTCCCTGCCCCGGTGGAGGTCGAAGTTGACATGGGACCCCAGTGAAGGCGATGGCACGTGGTGTTGAGGCCTGGGGCCGCCAGGCTAGGCAGACGAGGGGCGGAGGCCTGGCCTCGAGACGCTGGGTCAGAAACCTGGCATCTAACAGCGGCCAAGACGAACCCGTGAAGAAATGCACGGTGTGCACGGGCCGGTAAACGAGTCAGGAGCCCCCCTCGGGAACCACCCCCGCCCCCCGAACAGAGCAAAATCCTGGTCCCGACGGCCTCACTGGCGAGTCCCGCCGAACGCTTCAAGGACACCCCACGCCGGTCCTTCTCAGACTTCTCCAGAAACGCTGAGGAAGAGGGAGCGCGTCCCAACTCCTTCCAGGCGGCCGGCGTAGCCCCCATACCAAAGCCCAAGGCGCCGGGAGGAGATCGGGGACCGCCACCCCTCGTGAGCGCTGATGCAAACGCCCGAGCAGAGCGCCGGCAAACAGACCGCGACAGCGCACCCACGGACGACGCGCCCCGAGGCGCCTCGCGCCTGCACCGCGAGGAGGGCTCCCCACAACAGGCCGGCCGGGGGGCGCGGCCCCTGGGCAGAGGGGGGAAGACCCACGCGATCGTCCACCCCCGCGGACGCGGGATCGGCCCCTGGCCGGCCCCACGCGGTCATCACGGCACTCAACCAACCGGGAACGGGAGGAGCCACCTCCACACGGTCCCCGCCGTCTCTGGAGAGCCCACGGGGGACGTCATGCGCAGGGGTGAGACCCCGAGAGCTCCTCCTCGAGGAGCAGACACGCGAGGAGGCCCTCGCCGCCTCCGTTCCACACCGAACTGGAAATTCCAGCCAGAGCAAGCAGGGAGAGAGAGAAGGAAAAGGCACCCACGGCGCAAAGGAAGCGGCAACACCGTGTTTGAGCAGGACGTGGTCCTGCCACACAGAAAGCCCCAAGGGCTGCACGAAACAGCCGTTGGAGCAAGTGAATTCAGCAAAGGAGCGGGATACAAAGCACGTGGAGATCCGTTGAATTTCTCTACGCCAATAATAAATAACCGGAAAAAATATCAAGAACAATTCCATTCACAGCAGCATCCACAAGAATAAAACACTGAGGCACTGGCTTTAACTGAAAGGCTGAACGACTCATGAATGAAAATGATAAAACACTGAAAGTCACTGAAGTCACAAATAAACGGAAATGCTTTCCGTGTCCACAGGTTGGAAAATGTGATACCGTGTAAATGCCAATACCCTCCAATACCATCTACAGGATCAATGCAGTCCTTGTCAAAATCTCAACGACGTTTTTGCAAGAAAAGAAGAACCCACTCTAAAATTCATACAGAATTGCAAGAGACTCAAACAGCCAAAACTACCCTGAACAAGAACAAAACCGGAGAGCTCACGTTTCCTGATTGCGTGAGCTCAAAGCGGTGTGGTGTGGGCAAAGACACACACACACACACACACACACACACACACACGCACGCACGCACGCAAGCAAAGACCCATGAACAGAACAGAGAGCCAGAAACAGGCCCGAGCACATGGGGGTCAAACAGATCTGACCAGCGTGACAAGATCACTCATGGGAAGATCAGTCTCTTCAACAAACGGGACACTGGACCCCGACCTCGTGTGCACACAAAAAATAGCTCAAAGTGGATCAAGGACCTAAATGTAAGCCCCAGAACAGTAAAACTCGCAGAAGACACAGAGTGAACACTTCCCAGCACCAGACCTGCCGAAGACTGTGGCTGGGACACGCAAGGCCCAGGGAACGGAGGAGAAACAAACGGACTTGGTGAAAATTTTAAGCTCTGCGTCAGAGGACGCTACCCAGAGTGAAAAGGCTGCTGGGTGTTGGGACGGGCGAACAGGCAGAGCACAGAGGATTTTTAGGGCAGAAACCACTCTGAATGACTAATGGTAGGTGTGTGTGTCTAAACCTATAAATGTACGTATGGCATTAAAAGTGACCCTGAATGTAAACCATGAACTTCAGATGAGAGTGATGTGTCCGTGCAGGTACAATTTCAACAAGTCCCCCCTCTGTCGCGGGATGCAAGTACCAGAAAGGGCTGTGGGGGGCAGGGAGGTACATGGAAAATCTCGGGGCCTTCCTCTTTACGTCTGTGAAACTTAAGCTACTTTAAAAAAATAAAGTCTGGCGGCACCTGGGTGGCTCAGTCGGTCAAGCGTCCAACTTCAGCTCA